TTCTAGAGAGAAACTGCTTCCTACAAAGATTTTCAGTTTAACACCCACTTTTGTTAAAAAGGGAGATTATCAAATGTTAAAGAGGTGATGAAGATCGACTCTAGCCAAGACTTTCTCCTTGGTAAATTCAGGATAGAAAGAGAATTGAAAATAAAATCACTTCTATACTTAAATGATTCTTTAATGTCATGGTCTTTGCCTTTAGCTCAAATTTGAAAATGAATGTGATAGAATGAGTGCAGAACAGACACGGAGGGCAAGTCTGGGCCCCAGTTCCAAATATTTATATTTGTTTCATTTAACATGTCTTTTTTTTTTTTTTTTTTTTTTTTCCCTATGTCTTTTTTTTTTTTTTTCTTTTTTTCCCTACCCCCCAACCCTTTTTCTGGCCTCATGTTTCTGAAGAAGTTTATGATATTTTTAAAATTTTATCTTCATAGTCATTTGTTTTTCAGACTTTCATTTATTTAACAAAAGATTTTGACCCTATCCCGGAGTTAAGCATTGGTAATACAACCAGGAAAAAAACATCCATGCCCTTATGAAGCTTATGGTATTTCCCCTCCTCCCCCCTCCTCCCCCTAAACGCACTTCCCATTTTCAAATTATAATGAGTCAATATATAAATATATTGTTTATTCCAAAAGATTTAATAAAACTAAAGATAACTAAACAGCAGTGCAGCTTAAAGAACATTTGCATACAGAGCTGTTCAAAACCTCATTCTCTTGTTAGATCACAGATCTTACAGTGGCAGTTTCCCAGAATCCCACTAGAGGGCGCGCACATTTTTCGATTCTCAAAGAAAGTGCTTATGTGGGTACTACCCCAAAAGTTTGGAAATTGGTGTCTCCTTTCCCCATTTTCTCTTCAGCATGGGGTTGTGTGGTGAGCCCTCAAGTTCTCTCATCCTCCATCCCATCTTTACTCCCATGTAGTACCTTCTCTGCCGCAACAAGAATTCTTTTGCTCCCCAAACCACGACAGTTTCATTTCTGTTTCCAGTCATCTGTCCTTTCGACATTTTAGAAGAAATAAGATCCAAATTTGATGAAAAGAAAACATTGATGTCTTTAGTGAGAGATTTCTCCTCATAGGCCTGTTTACCCCAGCTGTGGGTAAATGCTCCCTTAAGAAGTTAGAACAGCTGCTCTGAGCTGAAGATCTTGGGGGCTTGCAGAGACCCTCCCTCCCCAGCAGATCTGTTGGAGCTGACCTTTGCCCCTGCATGTTGAGTTTTTGAGGCTCAGCTTTTTGCTCTGCGTTTTACCTTCTGGAGAGGTTTTGTTTGTTTGTTTGTTTGTTTGTTTTGTTGTAGTTGTTGTTTTGCTATAGGGCATGTGCACTCGTCAGGCAGAGACAGAGAGACAGAAAGCGAGAAATCATCCCCCAGGGGGGATGACCACACTGCAATCCCCTCTCCTCCATTCTCCTCTTGGGATCTTGGACACGCATGCACATGCGCCCCGTGTGAGTTTAAGCCACCAGGTCCGAAACTCAAACCGCGGGTGACTACATGGGAGTCCAACGACATAGCCATTACACCAACTGCTGGTCCCCATTTTACCTTCTGAATTGACAAGCTATTGACCTCAAACCTGGGAGAATACACTCCCAGACCAGTCTTCCCACAAACCATGATCCAAGAGAAACAGCCAATGGTTTCCCCAAGTTCTTTGCTTGATGAGGTGCTCTAGAATTTCAGGCTTCACCTTTTATTTGATTCTGAAGTACCCTTCCCTCCAAATATTCATTCTGAGCTCCTCTTGAAAGTTGGCAAAAATACTAATGAAATAAACTGCAAATAATCCCGATGGTTCATGGATATGAAATTACCTTTTGGATGAACGTTTCCCCAGGGAACGCAGAGAGGACGAGTAACCTAATCTGAGCCAAAAGAGGGGTGACTGAGCCTTTCTCCCCCTCTCTTTCTGCAAAGCTCAACCAGCACGCCCTTTAAGGAAATGAACAACTTTTTTTTTTTTTTTTTAAGAAAAGGTGTCAGAAGTCTTCTGAGGCTGCAGATTTATGCAAATATACTACTCAAGAAGAAGGCTTTAGGGGAAGAATTATTTATATCCCACAGGCATGACACATGCAAAAGGTGAAACTGTGAAGTTCTGAATTTCCAGGAGTGGATGTTCTCATGATGAGCACATCTTTGCAGTTAGCTATTTTGGTGGCACACAACTCCCATATCTGTCAGATTTTTCCAGGCAGAAGACTACATAATCATTCTGTAATTTTAGAATGACCCTGATGTTTCTCTCCAATGGGACTTCATGACCTAAACTTTTCCTGGGCATTAGATTTACTACCACCTCAGGCTCTAGTAATAAGTGCATTCTTTTCTTTTTGTCCTAAACAGGTACGACACTCCGTCATTAAAAAGAAATCATAGGACACGTTTATTGCCCTTTCATTTTCATATCAACTCCTGGAATTAGAGCAAAGAAAATAGCCATTTCTCTAGAAATTATTGCTCTGCTCTGTTGCTGGCTCATGCTCCTCAGAAATATAGACCATTCTCCAAATTGAAATATACATTAATCACTTCAGGAAATTGCTTCCCCCATTGGAAACTGATAACTCACATCGGAATGTGACCACGGTACAGCTGATGACAATTACGCCTCACTGAAATTTCAGTTCTCTTGGATCGTGACATAAAAACTGGGCCATAAATTAAAACTCAATTATCCTTTAAGGGTAATTGGGGTCATGAAACCAAGAGACTGTGAGTCCGTGTGTCGCTATTGCAGGAGGGCAGTGTCTGATGGAATGGTGAACACTCTGTCCCCACAGCAGCCTTTCACATGAAATGGATGGTGATCAGGTTGTCTGTGCACAGCATATGTCAAGAGAAGACATCACACTGGGCGACAGACTTGGAGAAATGCAGGGAGCTTCTCAGCTTCTTCTTGGAGCAAATAAAGGATGCTAAAACTGGGCTGGCAAGGGGCAGAACAAATTCCTGGCCTTCACCTGTGAAAGTGCCTGGTGGTGGAAGAAGGGATTCAATGCCACAGTTCCAGCCAGTTTTTGACTCTCTGAGATAGGAAATTCAGGTTCCATCTTACCTGAGAGGCAGGTGAGAGCAACTCTTTGTTTCCATACAGTTTATACCATCGAAGTCCTTCAGATGGACTTTGCTTTTCACAAAGGGCATGATCTGTAAAAGCTTCAATTAAAAAAAAAATAAGAGTTTGGGTAAATCAAATCATAAATTAAGGGCATAAGGGAAGTTTATTAAAGGAAACCTTGGATTATTCTTTAATTGCAGGGATTATCTGCACATCTGCAGGTGCCTTCAGGACCACCTCTTGATGTTGCAGCTTTGTATACTCTTCAGGGAAAATCCTACCCACTGAAACTTCCCAACCTTATATTCCAAAGATGCATGATACTATCCTTTCTCCATTCTAGATTTTTATAATGGTTTCACTTACCTGTCTTCCCAGAGAATTCATTGTTTCTCCCATGATGTACTGTTCATATTTTAAAGGAGTATACATCCACCACGTGACAGTCAAGTTTTCCTCACTGTCTCTGCCACTCAGCTAAAAACCTTTGAAGGGCTTGACCATATCTTATTCCTCTTTATTTCTGTAGAAGTGTGGAGCTGAACACATAGTAGGTGTTACAAGATGATGCTCATATAGTGCACCACTGAAACAGTATGATTCTAGATTTCTAACTTTTATTTCTGAAAGGTAAACATTGCTACAATCTATTAACCACAGTCAGACTTCACCAATCCAACTCCCTTTCAAAATCAAACAGGTTTTCCCTGGAGTACATCCACCATACACACAAATTTTTAGCCCCGGGACACCTTAAAGAGCCAGACTAGGGTTTCTAGGAGACCTCTGATTTCAGCTGATGTGTCAGTACTGTCAAGTCCCCCAGGAATCACAAAAGAGAAATGCAAAGTTATTTCACCATCCCAGGGAAACCAGGTCTGGCAAGATGCCTAAGGAAGGCAGTCTGCCTAATCTGGACTTTGGCAACCTTATTTCAAAATCCATTTTCTTATCTACTACCTCACAAAACCAAAGAGAAATAGGTACAAACTGTATCGACAAAAGATCAGATCTCGATTCTCAATGGCAAAGGCGAGTATACATTATAAATAGCAAAACAGCTGGCTCGGATGTGTTGGCAGCTACTCACCCAGTTGAGGGATTTGAATGACATCATAACCCTTGAGAGGGTATTGCTAGCCAGCTGGTGTTATTTAGAATACACAAAAATTGGAGAAAGAAAACACACTCGCTCAGACTCACATACTCATGCGCGCACGCGCACACACACGCACAGGTTCAAGTTATGCAGAAAAATACAAACAACTGGAAAATAGTTTGCCCCTCAGGTGCCCTTCTCCCCAACCCAGGGGAGAGGAGAATAACAGGCAGCCTAGCCTAGTCAAATAATGAAGGAAAAGAATTTACTGTATTTTTCAGATGGCTTTACAGCTCAGCATAGTCTTTGCCTCAGCGCAAGCAGAAAGTATGACACAGTCCTACCGGGAGCTGGTGCAAGTCTGCCTGCCCCTTCTGTAGGTTCTAGGAAATGAGATCATTCCCCTTTGCTTGGCAACTGGGACGAGGGGTCACTCGAGTGCTGTATTCCAATGTAATTTACCCCCGTTGTCTCAGGGTTAAAATCATAGGGTCTACTAGAGATATTCTGTTCTTCTTTTCTTTGTTTTAATCTTGCATTTGCTCTAGAATATAAAATCGCTCACCCAGCCCCCGTTCATATTCCTTTAAGACTGGTAAGGTGTGTTAGCAGGCTAGTGTGTCTTTACGCCCAGTAGAAAGTTAATCAGAGAGCAGATTCTTCTTTTCTATGGCAGCATAAGTATTTTAATGTCTGCTAACCCCGTCACTAACACACATTCTTTTAAGGGAAAAAAATGCTTCAGTGCTCTAGTTTTAAAATGCAAAGGTATGATGTTATTTGTCACCATGCCCAAAAAAGTCCTTACTCGATAACTTTGCCAGAAGAGGGAGAGAGAGAGAAGGCAAATGTTCCCCCAGCTGTTTCCTGTCTACAGTGTCTGTGTTTTGTAGATAAATGTGAGGATTTTCTCTAAATCCCTCTTCTGTTTGCTAAATCTCACTGTCACTGCTAAATTCAGAGCAGATAGAGCCTGCGCAATGGAATAAAGTCCTCAAAATTGAAATGTGACATTGCTCTCAACATCTCCCATCTCTCTGGATTTCTTTTTGCCTCATTATTCCTGCTAACCAATTCATTTCCAGACTTTGTACTTCAGAAGCAATGGGAAAAATCAGCAGTCTTCCAACCCAATTATTTAAGTGCTGCTTTTGTGATTTCTTGAAGGTAAATATGTTTTACTCTTTGAAGTCATTGGGGAATTTTATTTAAATTGTGTACTGTTTGCTTCTGCCTGGCAATGTTATTCACTTTAGAATTTTCATTGTTTCAGAACTGGGGAGTTATTTATAAATTGCTGAATATGCAATTCTGTGGGATCTGAAAAAATAGCTCCGGGAGATGGATGCATTTGCACTGATATCTGTATGAGTAGAAACTATTGCAAGGTACTTATGCTAAATCCTCCACTTCTGCAGGGCTTCGGTGGTGTCATTACAAAAGATTCCTTTAAATCCTGTCTATGGCTAAGGGCTATCGAGCATGAATATGAACTTAGGGATTTTTTTTTCTTTTGCAGGTGCAGATGTTTTATTTTTAAGACTGTGTTTGTGTGTATGTGTGTGTGTTTGTGAGAGAGAGAGAGCCAGAGAGAGAGAGAGAGAGACTTGTCAGGACTTTATTTACAAGGCATGCCATATACAAAAAGAGTTACATTTTAGATAATATTAAAGCTTTAAAATATATTCTTTGGAGCTGAGGTCCGGGAACTCTCTGCACTTATACCCAGAGAGTCAAAGTTAGAGTGAAGTTTAATTTGCTCTTCTGAAAAAGGACTCCTTGACAAATCTTGCTGACCTTGCATATCTGTATATTTTAAACAAATGCATACTGTATGTATAGAAAGCAGAAACTTTCTAGCAGCTGCTTCTCCAACTTTTCTCTTTTGAAGAGGACTCTCCTGGGTGAAGTTAGGACTTGAGGTTCGCGTTGTAAAACTCTGATCTTGTTCTTGGTGTTGTAAAGCGTCTTTAGGTACATTTGGCTGCTGTTGTCAATGCACCGACTTCTCGTTTCCGATCCCTGGCCCTAGTTCAAGTTTCCATTCTCGGCAAACTTATATCCTTCAAGACTTGTGTGTTTTTTCATTTTGCAAGCACTTTTAAGCCGCTGTCACTGGCTCAGAGATGCAATCGCCCAAGGGCTCAATTCATAAACTGTCCCTGCCACTTAGTGCAGTACTCATTCTCCCTTTCAGCTACTTCACCACTAGGATTTTTCTTAGTCAAGTAAGTGACTTGGGAGTTAAGGATACACTCTTGTCAGGCACCTGATTCTGCTGTCCTTGAGATGGCAGTACACACTCTGGCCACCTTGCTTTGAAAGAAGTGAAGTCACTATGCATAGACCGTGAGAGCTGACAGCTGGACTTCTTTTTTCCCTGCCTAGATATTAATAAAAGGGGCTGTGGACTGTTAGCTCTGCATTCATTGCAAGTTTGGAAAATTGTCTTCAAAAGAACTTTTCTTGCATGGATGCTAAACATTTCAGAAGTGGAGCTAGCAATAAGGTGTTACTTTTTCCTGTATTTGAAGTAGGAAGTGGTTTAAAGGCGCTGAGTGGTCTTTCAGATGTACTTTGGTGGGTAAAGGTGTCCTGCCCAGAGGCAGAACTCAGGAGCTGATTGTACTCTGAATCTCAAGGTATTTCCAAGTGCGTGAGCTGGGGGAAGGGAGAACAGGGTGGACTGGAGCTTGGGTCAGTATTCAAGGCAGATACAATAGACACACAATGGAAATTGATGGCTTGATTGGGAGAAAAAGATTGACTCAAATCCCAGCTGTGCAATTTGCTCATTGTTTGAATGGACAAAAGGCAGTTTACCCAGGCTCATAGCATACCTGCCTGGGTGTCCAAATGTAACTAGATGCTTTTGCAAACCCCACCCACAAAGCAGCACATGTTTTTAAGTCCTCAGTTTTCTATTCACATCAGCCTCATAATACCCACCCTGACCTGCTGTAAAAGACTTGGAACAAACAAAAATGATTACACCTACTGTGAGTATTTTCTTATGACTATTGCCCTCAAATTTTCACTGGAGGGCAGACTTCTGGAATCAATTGATAGTCCATTTATCTAAGGTAAAAAAGAAAGGTCTTTTAAATTTGGACTTGTGAAGGATTTTTGAGGAAGAGTGTTCTGAATTTTTTTTCCTGTTTACTCTTCTCTTTCTGGTTCATCCTTCTTTTCTCTCTGTCATATCTTTCCTCTTTCTCTATCCATTTCTTCTGTTTTGGCAAAAATAAAAGGCCAAAGAAATGATGAGCATATGGGGCCACTTGTTTCAAACCTTTAACTCCTTAGCAAGTTTGTTATTGTTTTCTTTTTGGGAACATAATGTGATAAATTATCTGGTTCTCTGTGGGTGTACTGGACTGTTCCCTGAACTAAAGGAAAATGCACTAGAGGTTCTATCTTGTCCTAGAACTATAAGTACTGATATTTATCTGACAATATTTAACTTTAAAAAAAGAGGGGGGGGGAGAAAAGAAAGAAAGTTGTTGGTTTTTTTTTAATCTAGAGATACATATGTGTTGCTAAACTTAAATGTGTTACAGCAAAAATAACTATTTAAAATATAGTACTGTTATTTAATAAAGGTCTAAATTCACTAATGCCACAAACAGGCTAATTTTCCCTCTGGATTTTACTATAAATGAAGAACTTGAAGGCTTCTACGATTGCAGGTGCTTAGCCTTCAACATAGCTATAAACTTAATGAAGAAGGGAGGGGTAGAGAAATAACACTTGATAGAAAAACATACATTCTAGAACTGGCTCATTACCAGAGAGTAGGGGTGTGTTCTGTAAGATCAGCTAGGGTTTTACTCTTGGCTACTTCTTTGATGACTAAGGAAAATGAGGACTGGATGATAAGTTGTTTCTAGGAGGTCCAGTGATTTTGGCTCTGTGGGATAGAGGGTTTCCACACAGAGGTCCTTTTGAGAAAGTGAAATGAACATTAAGTTGAGCTTTTACCTCATCTTCTTTTTTATGCCCATAATTTATGATGATTTGCAAATAGGGAGTGCTTTTCATCTTCAACCATTTTACAAGCATTAACTAAATATTTACATTGTGTTAACGAGAGTTGGGGGGGTTAAGGTTTTTTTCCCCATTTGTTGGGCTAAAGGTCTGGCCATAAAAATGGAAATCTTAATTAAAATGATGGCGCAAACTCTGCCACGGATGTAGACCCATTAAGCTGAGTTCATCGAGGGCAAGGAGGGTGGTCAGAAAATGAATGGCTGAGTCTGTTTCTCTAAAAGTGATGGGGGTTGAATGGACCTTCCACTATTGTAAGGTTCAAAAAGCCTTTTTCAATAATTATAGCTTCCAGCATTTCTTCATGACCTCGTTAATAGGATCACCCGTCCCATCAGTGGCTCTTCAAACACTGCTAACAGTAGATGCATCTGAAAGAAGGGAAGCTAATCACCTTATAAGACTTCCTGGAAGAAATGACATCTTGTGCCACAAGTAGCAATGTGGAAAAAGTTAATGATCACCTTAGCATTGTTTCTGCTCCTCAGAGTGAGGGATGGAGACGTGAGCCACAGGAATCTTGATTTGGGCAGAGCTGCCATTTGGCTCTGTCATCAACTAAACTATGCCAATTATGGGTCCCTTGGCATATTTTACTATAAAATGGGTACAGTGACACGAAAGTCCTTACAAGAGATGAAGCCAACATTTCTGTGACTAAAAAATACTATTGCTAATAATAATAATTTGCAGGTAATAAGTCCAGTGCCTGTACACATAAGGGAGCCCACACATGCGTTGGTTGATATTGGACTTGAGGCAAGGGACTTCAGAATGCAAAATGAGTAGCATGTACTTAACGTGAGCCAATTTCATTCCTAAATCCTCATGTTTCTCTTGTTTCTGTTTTTTTTTTTTTCCTTTCCATGTATTCTATTCATTACTGATATTCTCCAGGTAGGATTCTCTCTCTCTCTCTCTCTTTCTCTCTCTCTCTCTTTCTGAAAAAGAACTAAAATAAGATATATTTTTACAGGTCCTTTCATGGCCACAGCAAATTCTTTTTAACTAGCTAGGGGATGATGTACTGGTTAATTTAATATTCTGATCAATAATGAATGCATATGCTGGCTGTGGGTGGCCAATTTTTAGATAATTTAGAGTTACAAAATATATTTGGCCCTAAATTTGTACTGGGCATAATTTAACTTTTGATAATTCAAAAGTTTTACCAGGAACTCAGAGTGGAGTGGGATCATACTTTAATAATAGGATCTTTTATCTACAGAGTAAATGCTTCCAGATACTTCATTTCATTGACTTGAAATAGGAGCTCATAAAGAGGGCACAGAAAGGACTTCTCCAAGGATCCGTAGTAGCAAGGGGATTAAAGGCAGGTTGTCTGATGCCAAGACATGCTCAGCCCACAGCTCCAGCAGTCGCTCTGCACATTCTTGCACTTCTGTGCCAGGTCATTCTGATTAATGCCAGTAATGGAGTACGGGAAGCTAATGCACACTTGTTCCACTCCATACCCCTTGCAAGGACCGTGGAGGCGAGCTGACCCTCCTTCTGTTTCTCTGGCAGGTAAAGCTGCACATCATGTCCTCCTCACATCTCTTCTACCTGGCCCTCTGCTTGCTCACCTTCACCACCTCCGCCACAGCTGGACCAGAGACACTCTGCGGTGCTGAGCTGGTGGATGCTCTCCAGTTCGTGTGTGGAGACAGGGGCTTTTATTTCAGTAAGTAGCCCTCCTCTCATTGCACTGCTGAGGTCTGAAGTCTATGGCTCTGTGGATTTACAACCACAGTGAGTGTGTGAATAATGGAATGACTGCCTGTGCTGGCAGTCATCCCCAGCCTCTGAGATTCCTTACCTTAAAGTAAGCATAGTGTTTCAGTGGGGTTTAGGCAGGGTTGGCAGATTTAGGATGGAATTTTCCTCCTTAACAGTTTGTCTTTAACTGCTTCCTGCTGGGCCTTCCTTCAACTGTTATGATCAACCTTCATTAGTCCATCCCTTTCAGTAAAAGAATGGGGCAAAGTTATTCTGGGGTATTGAGGGTTTTTATTTCAAGGTCTATAGTTGTACCTATAAACCTATTGAACACATATAGGGCTCTTTTGAGTGCTGTGTAATTTGGAGTAAAATAATAAGGACTCTCCAGCCATGTGGACTTGGGAAAAGAATTGAGGGGGCACATTTCTCCATGCACTATGGAATCACTATGAACAGATGAGAGTGAACTTCACTTACAAGCACACATGCAAATGCACAGGCTCTCTAAATGCAACCTGGCACATTGTACTAATTTATGCTCTATGCAAACCAATGTTAATTTTGTAGGTTATTTCTCTCCTTTGGCATAACTCTTGTCTGAAACTCTCCAGTGCTATCGCCATCTGGAAAAGGATCTCTGACAAGTTCAGGGTCATTTATCTCATAAGTAGTCTCAGGTGGTTAGAAAGTTGACAGTCAATAACACGTAGACTGTCAAATCAATACTTGCAAATAACAAGCACAAATAAAAGTCAGTGATACCTAAGGGAACTGATCACTTAAAGAATCTTCTTCACATGCATCTATCTCACTATATATTAAAGGGCAATGAGAGATTTAAAGTTCTGTATAATTCTTTGGAATCTTAGAGAATTCCAGGAAAGTGAGCATGAATCATGCTTAAAGGTTCACATCATTCAAGTGTAGACAGCTTACCTCAGTTACCCACTAAGCTTTGAATAGCTGTGATGACTCACACATTTGAAGTCTCTTTCATCTTCTTCCCAAATGTTGACCTCTCTCTAGTCAAGTGGTGAGTGTGTGTGTGTGTGTGTGTGTGTGTGTGTGTGTGGTGTCTATTAGTTTATAACTGGAGGAATGTGTCTGGGCACCCCAGTCTCAATACATCTAAAGGAGATGGGAAGAAAGAGGCTGGTAGAAGACTGGTGATCTATACTTACAGTGAATTTGGCAATGAATAGTCTTTAAATGACTAGTGGACAGGGGCTCAGAAGTGCTTTCTACTATTTGAATGGCAAATTTGCACTACTTGCTTCCAGCCAGTGCTTGAATTCAGGGAACTCATTTATTTTTCTAGCAATGAAGCAATTCTAATCAGTTTCCTGTTGCAGAGTAGAAACATAAGTTCCTTGAATGGGTGCTTTGCCAATAGTCCAATTATTTTATCCTTAAAACATTCTGTGAAAGATAAACACGTGCCATCGCATGACCCAACAGTAGATCACGATTATTATATAATTTTCTGCTACTAATCCACATTTTAAAAAAAATTAATAAGCAGTTCTCACTTATCATGCCCAAGAGGATTTTTCTTTTTGCCTTGATAATCCACTTGTGCAATTTCCTTTGATCCAGTTCACTAGGTAATTGCCAAGCCTGAAAGTGTCCTTTATTATGTGCCAGGGTGAATTGTGATGTTCAACATGACATGCTCCAAGATTTCCATGTACGGTGCATGGAAACTGGGTCCTTCTGTGTTGGAGATGTTTGTATTAGATGATGAAAGATGAGACGGGAAAGAATAATTTCCATTCCACAAGTCTTAAGTAATTGTATGATACTTTTACTTGTGCACACAGATGATTAAGACTATTGAACAACTGTGATGGAAACCAATTTTAAGGCACTGAAGAGGTTCTTTTATTATTACTACTATAATAAAATATTAGCAAATGCCTTATCATTCTGTTTTAACAATTTGAAAGGGGAAGGTTATATATAACTTTGGATAGAAAGTAGTTGAGTAAACTGTGTGCAACTGTCAGTATTGTCACTGGGAGCAAATGTTTCATATAGTCTGTCTTACAGAATTCCATGATTTATGTTAATCCCTTGTTTAACATAAACTCCCATCCACTGAAGTACTCTTGTTAGCTTTCTAGTCAACTGGACAATTCTTTTTCACCCAAGAGAAGTTAGTCCCTTTAAATTCCTTTAATTTGATTCAAAACATTGATGGAGTATCTGCTATATGTAATACACTATACTAGGAACAAATGAAATGCTTAGTAATTAATGACATTGGCCTTGCCAATGTAGCTCATGGTCTAGTTGAAAGATTTTTTTTTTAAATGTACATAAGTATTATCAAGTGTTGTAAGAGAAAAATAACCAATGTAAGATTATATCCTGTATGATTTTCCTGAATACTTTGTGCTGTTTTTGGCATCACCTTATCAGGTTCTACCCTCCATAAATATTTCCCACTCAGTGGGCTTCTTGACATCACAGGACATATTTATTTACCTGTGAATACAGTGTCTGTCTCAGTGACTGGCCAATATAGCACCTGCTCATATGTAATTATCAAACTGACAGGATTAGATCAAGTTGAATCCAATTAAATATAATGAAATTAGTTGTTTTGGGTATCAGTCTTAAAAACCAATAAGAATTAGGAAGGCCAGATGGTGATACAGTGGTTAAACACAATATTCTGTGAGGCTAACCACATGGGAAGATTCTGAGTTTGTGTCTAGAGACTTAACTGAACACACAGAGCATACACATGCCATGAACCAAGGTCAGATGATGCTGGGGATGGATCACAGTATCCAGACTCTGTTGGAGGTGCTGTCTCTGTCTCTCTCTGTGTCTTCTCTCTCTCTCTCTCTCTCTCTCTCTCTCTCTCTCTCTCTCTCCTCTCTCACTTTTGGAAGAAATAAATAAACTTAAAAATGAAAGACTTAGAATTGTGAAGCACTACAGACAATACCTCTTGCCTCACGTTATTTGATAAAACTGTTTTTCTTTTTTTTTCAACTGAGTATAATATGTACTAACAGTGACTCAGAGGCCACATTTTGGTCAACCCCACGTTACACTGATGGTCTGTTTTGTGTCTGAGCCAATTATTCTTACAGGCATTAACTGTTGTCAACAAATTTTATTGAGTTTTCTTTTGCATCCCCTGAGGTTTACTGTGTATGGAAAAGTCAGCTCTGAACATTACAGTCTTTGAAGTACTTTTTAGAGGGAAGCATTCTTCCCCACTTCTATCCCCTGTCAGTTGACTCCTATTATTGTTTTTACCCTTATTTTAAAAGTTTTATTGTGGCTGTGTCTTTTATTTTAAGCTGCTTCAAATCCATTTTGGATGTAAGGATTTTTTTTTTTTTTCAGTATTGGAAAGCAGTCTCTGATCTTAGTTTGAAATGCAAACATCTAAAAGAAATTTGCCTTCACATCTATCTCTTTTTGTCAATTCAGAATATCTAACAAGGAGAGTTTTTTTTTTTAAGTTTTGTATTTTTTTCTTCCATGAGTTAGAGAGAAACACACACAGAAGGGGTTAAAGAGAGAGAGAAAGATTTCCCAATAATGTATTAACACCATAGTCCATCTCCAACCTTAGTCAGCCCCCATTCATGGGCACATGTGTGGCCAGAATACTTAGGGAGGTCTCTGGACACGATCACAAAACCTTCCCATGTGAGTCAGACTCAGAGCATGTGAGTCTGCTCCCAGCTCCCAACAAAGAGAATTTTTAAACCCTACTAGAACTGTTCAGAATAAAAATGTTCTAATGCTTATGTTGTATAGATTGACCCACTCTTGTGAATTAGCTTATATTTCTCTTCAAGCCCAACTTCCACTATAGTACAGTGGAAGCAACCTTCTAGATTATCTGATTTGTGAACATCTTCCCGGCATAAATGGAACAGATCATCTATAATTAATGCAGCTTCCCCAGATACTTTATGAAATGAAAGTTCCAATGAAGGGCTAATTACTGATTCTTCCCTATGCATCCTCCTAAGAGAGTCTATCAACCAGACTTGTGCTCTGATAGTCCTGAGAGAAAAATGGTAGCGTAATGGAGGTGAAAGCACACTGGGAAAGAGCTAGCTATTATCTTACCAGATTGATGGAATTCTCATAAAGGGTGACTCGTTATAACCTCATTTTGTGTGAAACACAGAAAGAGGAAAAGAGCTTCCAGTGAAATAGGAGAAGTTAAGCTTTCCTTCGATATAATTTTTGACAGCCATGGTGATTAACTATTTTAACATGCTGTTTAGGAGCTTGTGGAGTTTCTCTCCTTGGAGATCCTTAAGAAAAATTGATGGACAACCAACCATTTTGGATGGTTTCAATTAAGAAAAACCAAAAGAAAGAGAGTTTCTGGGGTCCTTTTTAGTTTTAAGAGTCTATAAACAGTCCCTTAAATAAACTGTATATACTTTACCTCAGCAGTCTGGGAAAAAGAAGAAGTAAATCAATTAGAAAAGAAAGTTGGATACCCTTTCAGCTATAGCAGATTTATAGCATTTGTAAAACATACTTCCCATGCATAGTTATTAAGAACAGGTCTGAATAAACGAACAACATTCTTCATGTGTTAAAACATACTGTTTTGTGAAGAGTTTAAGTAAAACTTTTCAATTAGCTTTCATCGTTATTGATTGCAACAACCTTCCTAGATCTAGGTTATTATTATTAAATCAAGCTTTCTTCCTTTGATATATAGTGCTCAGAAAACTGCTCCCAGACTTGTCATTCATTAGCTGTATGACTTTGGCAGGCATTTAAACTTCCTGAGCTGAAATGTCCTTGTCTATAAACCAAGGGGATTTTGTTAGAGTAAATGACTTCTAACTTTAACAGACTTATAGTCTAGGTTGTAATTAACAAGGATTTGGTGCTATTCAAGAAAAGAAAATCTTAGATTTAAGTAGTGACCAAAGAACATTTAGTCTCCTTTATCTTTGCATAGTTTCT